AGAATCTGAAACAGGCTCCAGGCTCTGAGCTGTCAGCACAGAGCCCGACGCGGGGCTCGAACTCACGGACTGTCAGATCATGACCTGAGTGAGCCAAAGTCGGATGCTTAACCGACCGAGCCACCCAGGCACCCCTCTGATTTATCTCTTGATTGTTTGTGCAGGAGTGTGCTGCCTAATTTTCATATACTTGTAAAATTTTCCACTTTTTCCATTGTTGATTGTTATCTTCATACTATTTAATATGATTAAATATTTAATATGATTTCAATATTCTTAAATTTGTAGCCCAACATATGATCTATCCTGAAGAATGCTTCCTGTGTTCTTAAGAATAATGTGTATTCTGTGCCAGTCAGAGTGGTCAAAATGAACAAATCAGGAGACTATAGATGCTGCCGAGGATGTGGAGAAACGGGAACCCTCTTGCACTGTTGGTGGGAATGCAAATTGGTGCAGCCACTCTGGAAAACAGTGTGGAGGTTCCTCAAAAAATTAAAAATAGACCTACCCTATGACCCAGCAATAGCACTGCTAGGAATTTATCCAAGGGATACAGGAGTACTGATGCATAGGGGCACTTGTACCCCAATGTTTAGAGCAGCCCTCTCAACAATAGCCAAATTATGGAAAGAGCCTAAATGTCCATCCACTGATGAATGGATAAAGAAATTGTGGTTTATATACACAATGGAGTACTATGTGGCAATGAGAAAGAATGAAATATGACCCTTTGTAGCAACGTGGATGGAACTGGAGAGTGTGATGCTAAGTGAAATAAGCCATACAAAGAAAGACAGATACCATATGTTTTCACTCTTATGTGGATCCTGAGAAACTTAACAGAAACCCATGGGGGAGGGGAAGGAAAAAAAAAGAGGTTAGAGTGGGAGAGAACCAAAGCATAAGAGACTCTTAAAAAGTGAGAACAAACTGAGGGTTGATGGAGAGTGGGAGGGAGGGGAGGGTGGGTAATGGGTATTGAGGAGGGCACCTTTTGGGATGAGCACTGGGTGTTGTATGGAAACCAATTTGACAATAAATTTCATATATTGAAAAATAAATAAATAAATTATTTACACCCTTTAAAAAAAGAATAATGTGTATTCTGTTGCTTTTATATGTAATGTTCTGTATATATCTGTTAGGTATATTTGGTTTACAGTGTTATTTAAGTCCTCATTTTCTGTATCTATCCAATGGCGGAAGTAAGGCATTGAAGCCCCTTACTGTATTGTATCTCTATGTATTTCTCCCTATAAAATTTTTCTTCATATCTGCTTTAGTATAAAGGTATATACATGTATAATTATTATTATATCTTCTTTCTAAAATTACCCCTTTCTCACTATTCACTGACCTTCTTTGTCTATTTGGACCAATTTCAACTGAAAGTCTATTTTATGTAATATAAATGTAGCCACTCCTGTTCTGATTTCTTCTGCTTGACATTTGTGTGGAGTTTTCCATCAATTTACTTTGGGCTGATGAGTATCCTTAAAGCTAAAGTGAGTCTCTTGTAGGCAGCATATTGATGGATTTTTAAAAATCCATTCATCCAGTCTCTGCTTTTTGACTGTATATTTTAGTCCATTTATGTTTAAAGCAGTTATTGAGAAGTAAGTTCTTGTTTCAGTTCTGTTATTTTCCTGCTGTCTCTCTTTTTAAAGTTTTATTTAAATTTCAGTTAGTTAACATACAGTGTAATATTAGTTTCAGGTGTACAATATACTGATTGAACACTTCAATATAACACCAGGTGTTCACCACAACAAGTGATTCCCACCCACCTATTTAATCCCCATCACCTATTTAACCGATCCCCTCACCCACCGCTGATAATCGTTAGTTTGTTCTCTGTAGTTAAGAGTCTGTTTTCTGATTTGCCTCTCTTTTTTCCTTTTGCTCATCTGTTTTGTTTCTTAAATTCCACATATACAAGTGAAATATGGTATTATGTCTTTCTCTAACTTATTTTGCTTAGCATAATACCTTGTTGCTCCATCCTAAATATTAATCAGCAGTTAAATTCAATTCTACCAATCATAAAATGTGTTATATTATTAGTGCACATTTTGAAACTGTACAGAAACAGGACATATATTTCCTTTTTTAAATTCTTTAAATGTTTTTATTTAGTTTTGAGAGAGAGAGAGAGAGAGAGAGAAGGGGAGGGACAGAGAGAGGGAGACACAGAATCCACAGCAGGCTCAAGGCTCCAAGCTATTAGCACAGAGTTTGACACGGGGCTCGAACCCACTATCTGTGAGATCATGACCTGAGCTGAAGTTGGACGCTTAACCAACTGAGCCACCCAGGCGCCCCACATGACATATATTTCTATGGAATAAAATGCACACATGAAAATAAGATTAATGGTTAACTCTTAAGGGACAAAAGGTAACTTGAAATCATGGTGACAGTCAAATGATGGGGATTAGGTGGGTATGTTTAGTTTTACATGTAATAGTCTAATGTTAAGATGAAGAATACAGTATATAATATTTATGTACCCACAAAGATAGATAAGTGATATATAGATGAAGAAGATGATGATGATGATGACTGGCTGACAGACAGACAGATAAATCGATCGATAGATAGATGATAGATAGATAATAGATAAATAGACAAAATAAAGGCCTAGAAGCCATTGAAGCAACAGAGGCTAGTTTCTGGGTCTGGGTGGTAAGCATATTAGTTATTGCTGTTTTCTTTGTACAATTTGTATTGTTCATTTGCCATAATAATAAAAGATAACATAAAGATGAGCATGTCTGGAGTAAAGATGAGTTTTTCTTTTAAAATATTGAGTTCTTGGAGCCTGTGGATTCCAAAATACCTACTGCATAGTCAGGTATGACTGTATAGAGAAGGATGTCCAGCCAGCATTGTACATGCAACTGAGATTTAACTAAAAGTTCTAGAACTGGCTCCACTTTCTATAATTCAGAGGGCTTTACCCAAATTTACCCTGATATAATGAGTGAGCAATTGTGAGGAAAAGAAAATGGGCCTTTAGAATTGAGGATTATAAAGTGAAATAATTAAATAACCACTAAAATCAATATATAAATAGTGTTAATGAATACAGACTTTAAAACAAATTCCTAGTAGAAAAAAAGAAATCCTACATTCAAATCCTGGCTCTTCTTAGAATCTATGTGATTATATTAGTTAATTCATTTAACCATTTTAAGTTTTGTTTAATCCTCTATCTATAAAATGGGATCCCTTAGTGTCTGGTGCATATTAAACATCTCAATAAATTGTAACTATTGCAATTGCTACTTTTATAAAAGGAGGGTAAGAAAAAGATAAGGCTAGATGGGTCTAATTAAAATGATTAAGATAAACTGAGTTCTATAATAAAGGCAGAAGAAATCTGCTGAGATGACATATAATGAATTTTTCTTTTTAGTTTTATGTTGATAAAAATATCTGTAATTAAGCAATGAGAATCATGACCTATATCATAATTTATTTAGCCTAGTATATGTACTATTATATGTTTTGTTATCTATCATGTTACTGACATTATATAAACTTTCTTTTCTTAGACTCTGGGACGTTATAGTGTTATTTTTAAAGATCCATTCTTTTTGCTATATAAAAATTATGACAGGAAATATGATTATTGCCTAGCCTTCTTTTAAAATATGCTTATATAAAATCTCAGGGAGGAGCTAAGATGGTTGAGTAGGAGAACCTTAGGTTTGCCTCATCCCTTGAACACAGCTAGATGAATATCAAGTCATTCTGACTACACAAGCAATCTGGAAACTGAAAGAACAAACTGCACAAATAGAGGGAGATAAAAGGTCATATCCTGGAAGGTAGGAGGTGTGGAGACATGGTTTGGAGGAGAAATGGATCATGGGTGCTGCAGAGGGAGGGAAACCTGGTCATGGAGAGAGGAGAGAGGGAGAGAGAAAGAGAGAGAGAAGGAAAAGGAGGAGGAGGAGGAGGAGAGAGGAGGAGGAGGAGGAGAGAGGAGCACATAGGGGATTGGACAAGGAAAACACTTTTCCAAAAACACTGACTGGGAAAGTGAGAAGGGCTGATTATCAACAGTTTTACAACCAGCTGGGCCCAAACACTGGAGTTTTAGAGGTCTGTAGCATGGCTGGTGTGGAACCCTGAGGGCACTGCAATGCCCCTATGGAAAAAGAGGGCAAATAGCCCACAGTGTGACCTGTGGTTACCCTGGGGTCACCAGGGAGCATCCCAGCATATCTAGAAGTGGTGGCATTGCCTCTCTAGGGATCAAAGAGCCAGTGGGTACCATTTACTGCCCCTTCCTCTCAGGATATGTGCAGAGACACCTGCTGAGGGTGGCTAACCTGCACACTGGCTTTTTGCTGTGATTTACGTCAAACCCCATACCTCTGGTGCTTTGGTGAAACTGCCCTTCTGGAACAAACTTGAGCAACCCCAGAGTGGTGAGATCCTCCCCCAGAGCAACAGCACAGGTCCCCACCATGACAGGTCCATAAAGTTTGGAGTTTAAAAACTCTACCAGCCTGCGTGGGATAGACCCCAAGGGTCTACCAGGAGGGCAGATGGCCCAGACCCAGACAGGTTGAAGGCAGCAATCTCAGTGATGCTTGTGACACACAAGGGAATATTGCCCTTCTGAGAGGGCTTCTCAAAGGTGCCAGCTTCCCTCTCTTGGGACTGAGGAGCTTGCTGGTGCCAGTTACCTATCCCACCCATTAGCATATACTAACCTCAGTAAACAGCACAGCACCAACAGTGGCAGCCTAAACCATTTATCCCAAGCTCCACCCCCTGCACTGTGCAGATGCTGCTTTTTGTGGCCAACTGTACCTGACAACAAGAGCAGTGGGTTCTTCCCCCAGAAGACCAGCACAACCCCTCTGCCCACCCCCAACAGGCACATGTTCACTGACTATTGAGTTCTACAAAGCTTCAGCTCTAGTGGAAATAGCATTAGGTCTCTTAACAAGCAGACTGGAATACAACTAGTAAAAACTCACCACTCTGGCCAAGGTCCACTCTTCCCCCAGCAGGTAAGTAGAAACTGCATTGGACTGACCTGAGAGAAAGAAAAGCCAAAAAACAGCAGCAGAGTTCACATAGCATACACCAGAGACACCTCCTAAAGTGCCAGGCCCTGGACACTAAAAGACCTCTTCTTCATAAAGCCACTACTTTCAGGAGCAGGAAATATAACAGGTTTTCATAACACAAAGATGAAGACAGAGACCTAGACAAAATGCAAAGATGGAGGAATTCATCTCCAAAGAAAGAACAAGAAATGGCTATGTCCAGGGATCTAATATAAACAGATATAAGTAATATGCATGATCCAGAATTTAAAAAAACTTTTTAATGTCTATTTATTTTTGAGAGACAGAGACAGAACATGTGCTGGGGAGGGGCAGAGAGAAAGAAGACACAGAATCTGAAGTAGGCTCCAAGCTGTGAGCTGTCAGCACAGAGCCTGATGTGGGGCTCAAACTAACAAACTGTGAGATCATGACCTGAGCTGAAGTTGGACACTTAACTGACTGAGCCACCCAGGAACCCTGCATGATCCAGAATTTAAATCAACAATCATAAAGATAATAGCTGGGCTTGAGAAAATCATAGAAGACACCGGAGAGTATCTTACCACAAAGAGAAAATACTTAAAAATTAGGCAAAAACAAAAATACAATAACCAAGATTCAAAAATGACTAGATATAATAACCACAAGGATGAAGTAAGAGAGGAAGGAAGAAATGATATAGAAGATAAAATTATGGAGAAATGAAGCTGAAAAAAGAGGGAAATAAAAATATTGGATCATGAATGTAGACTTAGAAAACTCAGTGACTCCATAAAACATAATAACATTCATATTGTATAGGTTCCAGAAGAAGAGAAGTAAAAGTTGGCAGAAGGCTTATATGAGAAAATTATAGCTTAAAACATCCCTAATCTGGGGAAAGAAACAGACATCCAAATCTGGGAGGCACAGAGAACTCCCATCAAAATCAACAAAAGCTGGTCAACAACAAGACATATCATAAAGTTGCAAAATATAGAGGCAAAGAAAAAATCCTAAAAGCAACAAGACAAAAGAATTCCCTTCTTACAAGGGAAGTAAATAAGGTTAGCAAAAGATCCCTCCTCAGAAACATGGCAGGCAAGAAGGGAGTGGCAGAAAATATTCAACGTGCTGAAAGGGAAAAATCTGGAACCAAGAATATTCTACCCAGCAAGGCTGTCATTCAGAATAGATGGAGAGATGAAGCATTTCCCAGACAAACACAAACTAAAGGAGTTCGTGACTACTAAACCAGCCCTGCAGGAAACATTAATAGGCATTCTTTGAGTGGAAAGAAAGACCAAAAGCAACAAAGACTAGAAAGCAACAGAGAAAATCTCCAGAAACAATTACTTGACAATAATACAATTACATTAAATTAATATCTATCAATAATTATTCTTAATGTAAATGGAATAAGTGCTCCAATGAAAAGACATAGAGTTTAGGAATGGATAAAAAAATGAAAACAAAACAAAACAAAAAAAAAAACCAAAATGCTGCCTACCAGAGACTCATTCTGGAACTGAAGACACCTACAGATTGAAAGTGAGAGGCTGAAGAATAATTTAGCATGCTAATGGACATCAAAAGAAAGCCGGAGTAACCATACTTATATCAGACAAACTAGATTTTAAGCCAAAGACTGTAGCAAGAGATGAAGAGGGACACTGTATCATAATAAAGGTTTCTATCAAAAAAGATCTAACAATTGCAAATATTTATGCCCCCAACTTAGTAGACCCAAATATATGAAACAATTACTAAAAACATAAAGGAACTCATTGATAATAATAGAATAAGAGAAGGTGACTTTAATATCCCACTAACATCAAGTAAAGATCATTTAAGCAAAAAATCAATAAGGAAACAATGGCTTTGAATGATACATTGGACCAGACGGACTTAAAAGATATAATCAGAACATTTCATCCTAAAGCAGCAGAATACACATTCTTTATAAGTGCACATAGGACATACTCCAGAACAGATCACATTCTGTGTCACAAATCAAGCATAAATAGTAAAAAAAAGAAGTCTGAGATCATATCATATATATTTTCCAATACACTTCTATGAAACTTCAAGTCAACCATAAGAAAAAATTTGGAGAGACCACAAATACATGGAAGTTAAAGAACATCCTACTAAAGAATGAATGGGACAATCAGGAAATTAAAGAAGAAATAAAAAATACATGGAAACAAACGAAAATGAAAAAATGATAGTCTAAAACCTTCAAGATGCAGCAAAAGCAATTATAAGAAGGAAGTATATAGCAATATAGGCTCACTTCAAGAAGCAAGAAAAATCTCAAATACACAACCAAACCTTACACTTAAAGGAGCTAGAAAAGCAACAAGAAATGAAGCCTAGGGCCAGCAGAAGAAGGGAAATAATAAAGATTAGAGATGAAATAAATGTATAGAAACAAACAAAAAAGCAAAACAGTAGAACAGATCAAGGAAACCAGGAGATGGCTCTTTGAAAGAATTAATAAAATTGATAACTCTAGCCAGATTTATCCAAAAAAAGGAGAAAGAACCCAAATAAAAATCACGAAAGAGAGGGGGCAATCACAACCAACACCACAGAAATACAATTATAAAAGAATATTATGAAAAATTATATGTCAATAAATTGAGTAATCTGGAAGAAATGGATAAATTCCTAGAAAGATATAACCTACCAGAAAAAACAGGAAGAAATAGAAAATTTGAACAGCCCAATAATCAGCAAAAATATTGAATCAGTAATCAAAAATCTCCCAACAAGCTAAAGTCCAGGGCCAGATGTCTTCATAGGGGAATTCTATCAATATTTATTTATTTATTTATTTATTTATTTATTTATTTATTTTTTGCATCTGTGTGCTTTTCTTTTTTTTCTTTTTTTTTCTTTTTTTTATTTATTTATTTATTTTTATTTATATATGAAATTTATTGTCAAATTGGTTTCCATACAACACCCAGTGCTCATCCCAAAAGGTGCCCTCCTCAATACCCATCACCCACCCTCTCCTCCCTCCCACCCCCCATCAACCCTCAGTTTGCTCTCAGTTCTCAACAGTCTCTTATGCTTTGGCTCTCTCCCACTCTAACCTCTTTTT